CCTATGCAAATTCATGAGGAGTTGCATTGACCGCCTCACTTTTCTACGTTTCTGCCACCATCGCAATCTCGAGGTCACAATTGCTCTTGGTTCCCATCCATCGCAACCATTTGTTCTGAACTTAGATGCTTGTCCCCTGAGAAATCCCCTTCTGGCTTCACTTATTGATTGCTAATAGTATGGTACATTGACTATCCTATTTGATTCCTATGAACATTGATGCTCACTGTTTGATACATTTCACTGCCATTCATTTGTTTAACATAAGGCATGCGCATTTAAGCTAGGTGCATGTAATAACCCTTGGGGCTACTTAATGGATCTATTCCCTTTTACATATGCACACATGAGTAGTTATAGAGGTAAAAAAAAGTATGCATAGTTTTATATGATCAGTTTCAACTATCACACGCAACATGAGTCATCGAACTTAGTGTGGAGAGAAAATTTGCTCCTATTTATTTTGAGATATATCATTGATTTATTTTCCAGTAGTTAGCTTCCCTTTTCAGCAAATGTGATCATTTAAAGTGATTATTAGCTGATTTAAGTAGAAAATCCCTGATTAAAAGAAATGAACATTGGTGGCATTGTATCTTTTATATTTGCATATTTATTTACATTGTTATTGTAATATTTTTTGCAGTAGATTTTCCTTATTAAATGATAAACTGAGTTTTTTTTACAGCTGAACCATCCATTTTTATATCATTGTTGTTAAATTAAATTGATTCTTGATTGTTGAGAGCCTCACCAGGTAAAAAGGAGCCATAAAAAGATGCTTGCTTCACTTAAATTTATGGATAGAAATAAATCCAAGGTCCCATAGACAATACAAGATTTTATGGACCAAAAGCAACTTTTCTTAGTAGTATGTTCCATTAACAATGGGGCATGTAGAGTCAGACTCTTCAGGGCTTGATAGCATCATATTGAACTATAACATAATATCTATGACATATCTGTTACATGTAAACGGATTGGATAGCCTACTGAAATTATATATTTATTTCTTACGGGTGGAACTACAGGAGGGAACAGATGACACGGTCACTTGGAGATGGTCTTCTAACGGGACATACTCGGCAAACTCCGCCTACAAGATACAATTCGTTGGAAGTATTCAAGATAATAGGTCGGATTTTTTCTGGAAAGCTAAGACTGAAAATAAATGTAAATTCTTCGGTTGGCTCATGATCCATAGGAAGATTCTTACAGCGGACAAGCTCCTTCTCCGCGGCTGGGATAACAGCCGCATTTGCCCACTCTGTGGAGTGGAGCCAGAGACGGCCACTCATCTACTCATGGATTGCACCTTTACAAAGCAGGTCTAGAGATCCATCTAGCAGAAAGCCGGGCTTCACATGCCTATGGCTTCCTCCTTCAATGGGGATATGCTTAGCTGGTGGACAGCGTGCAGAAGAGAAATGATCAGGGATCAAGGGAGAAGTTTTGATGGCCTCTTCATCTACACAGCCTGGGGAATTTGGCTTCAACGAAACGCAAGGATCTTCAACGGTGCCTACAGCACAGTACCGCAAGTCGTTGACTCCATCATCGCCATATGCAAAGCCTATGAGGGAGCTCATAATCTAGATGAGTAGTACCCAGTTCCTCTTCTTGGTTGCTATGCATTTCCTGAAAATCCTCCCATCCGTTTCTTCTTGTTTTGTGGGGGGTTCTATGGTTTCCTCTTGTATCCATAGCCTGTAAAAACTCTTTTTATCTTCTTCTCCTATAATGAAATTGGCAGAGCTCCTGCCGTTTATCCCTAAAAAAATATATTTATTTCTTATGTTTGATCCATGAATTGTGTTCAGTTGCAGGAAGAATTCAATAGAATTCAATGCAAAGTTTAAACTGAAGGCCCCAAATTGTATAATAAATTTAAGTTGGTCTTGATGAAGGATCCAACTTCATTTTCAAGATATATGGAATGCATGCAGATTTATAATACATTCTCATTAGTTCAAAACTCAGTACTATCAGTTTTTGTATTTCTTCGATATTTCAAAATTCCCTGTGCTTTGGTTGTGCTATGAGAATTTCTAATTTCTTTCATTGTCATTTGTATAGATATTCAAATGACGATAGGTTTCTTCCATTTTTCCAATGATTTATTTCTTCCTTACATGGATCCTTGTGCAATGTACTCTGTTTGCATACAGTACAGTTTTGTTTCCCCCCTTTTCAGCCTGAATGTAAATTTCAGGAAGCTTTGATTCTTCATTCTTCTATGGATCGAAATGAATCGGTTTTGGCTATATATTGAGTCTGCAAAATATTAGATTGATGGAATATATATTGTGAAAAACGTGCATTGCACGTGCACGATTACTAGTAACCTTTAAGTTCTTCCTTGCTTAAATGCTTAGAATGGACCAATAATTGCGCCAGTCGTTTCACATATGTTAGTGTGAAGAACTGCAGGGCCCTTTTCCAAGCTGCCACTATTGGTTTTTGAGCGATGGTGCTTTTTTTTTTAGGAAATTTTGTTACAGGACACTGCTATTGTGTAGTTTTAGCCTTAGGACACTGCCAAAACTAACTTTTGAGGGAAACATCCATAATCGTGGTATTTTGCCAATGGACACCGCGCCGACTAAAACAATAATTTACAGTTGAAGAGGAGAGAGAAATCACGTGAAATGCCAAAAATACCCTTGGGCTCACATGTCAGCTATCCTATCTCTTGTATATGTGGGGTCCACATGGCAGTGACTTAGTGCGAAGCTGACTAGCATGCCGAAGCTCACCGCCGCCGCTGACACTGATTTTGGCACCACTATGCACAAGACCACCACCATTAGCTTCACAATCCTCCACTCTACAAATCCACTTTTGGCTGCACCTCATGAAACCCCGCCGTTCACTGCCAGCGCCGGCGAGAAGCTCGCCGACCGCTGCTGCCTTTGCTCCTCCTTGCGCTGACCGAAACGATATTACTTCGGCCAAAAGTTTTAAATTTTTAAATTTTTTCATGAATTTTGGTAATATTTGTTCAAATTCAACTAAATTCTATTCGAAATTTCAGCATTTCGGTGAGGTCCGATCAAATCGGCCAAACCGAAAGGTTTAACCCTGGTAATAAATACCAATATTGTGTTAAGTATATATATATAACATGATTAATATGGAATAACGGTTGGATCATAGTTCTCTTATGTCTTTTCCACTATATTAATTAATTAGAGATGAATCTTATGTGTGTCATAATACCCCTTAATCATAATACTAACCAGGTCTAGACTATAGTGAGTTAATTATAGATTGATATAAACTATGTCTTTACACCTCTGTTTTTGCTGCTGAAATATAAATGCGGCACTTTCGGGAATACTCATTGGTGAAGTGCTACAACGGTATCCGTGCGCTTGCGGATTTATTTGTGAGCGTAAGAAATACCAACAAGCATTTCTAGCACCACTGTCAGGGAAGGCACTGGTTAAAGATAATGTTATATACATCTATAATCATACTATGTTTAATAAAACATTGGTCCAAATAGGTTAACCTTGATTTGTTTTCTCTTTATGTAAAAACAGGTAGTGTATGACCGGTTTTGATCTGTGGATAAACTTCGTTGATAATCTAGAGAAACTTGCCAGAAGAGTCCGACCTCGTGTCATTCCTCCGAAAATCAGGCTCTCGGCACCCGAACTCAGAAGACTCTCCATGAATACTCGGCTCACTCTGCTTCCAATGTGCCCATTGGGCCTACTATCAACACTGGGGATGCCAGCTTTGAGATCAGATGGGTCTGATCACTATGTGCTATGGAGGTTATATAATAAGGTCGTTGAATAATAATACTATGAATAGTCGATTCAATGATATTATCTCTTCTGTCAAGTGCTTCTCTACTAGACCACATATATTCAAATCCATTAGTGATCAACTAAGTTATCAAACAAAGTTATATATCGGTTGATTAAATAAAAAAGAATTAACCACTACAAGAAATATGACCTTCTGTGACGAATTCCTCGTGACGACGGAGCTATTCGTCACTAGCACATTCCATTTTATGATGATAAGTATGAGATGGGGTGGCTTAGTGATGAAAAAAAGGTGTTCGTCGTTAATACCAACTAGAAATCGTCATAAAGTATTTCAATGGGACATCGTGACGAATATTAATTTGTCATAAGGGGCACAAAGCAAACGTCATAAATTTATATAATGCATTTCTAAAAAAATATATTAAAAGTTAAAGCAATTTAATCAAGTGAATTAATGGGGAAACTAAAATATTCCTTTAAAAATCATGGCCGGAAATATTTTTGTAATATTCTACGTGGTCTAAATAATTCTCTAAAATTTTTCGTAAATTTTCGAAGCTCAATAACTAATTTTAATACCACAAAGTTCATTTAACCTGTTAAAATAAATAGAAAGCAAATTAAAATTCCTCTCTCTGTCCTTGGGCCTTTTTCGGCCCAAGTATTACTTTCTCCCTCTCTCAGCCTATAACCTCTCTCTCCCTCCTCCTCCCTCTTCGGGCTGCCGGCCCAGCCCTCTTCGGGCTGCCGGCCCAGCCCTTTTGTTCCTCCCTTACCGAGAAGTCTATTTTGCCTCTCTCCTCTCAATTCAAATAATTTTTCGAGTAGTAAATGATTTCAAATAAAAAAATTACCAATAACAAAGTTGTATAACTTATCAAGATCTATAACTTTTGTTTTGGTCATTTTGCTATATGACTTTGTTTCAATATTTGAAAATGTTGTTTGAAGATGTCACAATTTGAAATTCAAATTCAAATTATTGAAATAAAGTCATAGCAAAATGACCAAAACAAAAGTTATAGATATTGATGAGTTATCGAGAAATGACCAAAATAAAATTGGTAGATCTTAACGAGTTCTACAACTTTATTTTGACAACTTTTTCATAAAAATTCATTTAATATCATAAAATTTGATTCAAAGTTTTTCACATTAACAATTCTTTCCCTCCTCACCCTTTCAAAAATTTTCATCTCTTCTCCTCTCCCCATCTCTCTCTCCTCTCTTTGATATCCTCACCCCTCTCTTTTTCTCTCTTCTTCTCCCTCCGTCCCTCACTCTCTTTCTCTTTCTCTTCCTCTCTCTCTCTTTCTCTCCTCTACGCGCAACACGCAGCCTAGGAGGAGGCGCCGAGAGCGGGCGGCCGGCGGCCCCGAGCAGTGGGCGGCGGGCGGTGTGGCCGTGGAGCTGGCGTTGGGAGTGGGCGGCGGGTGGTGTCGAGCAGCGGTCGGTGGGCGGCGCCGCGACGAGGACGAGGCGGCAAGCGCCACGGCGAGGAGGAGGCGCCGGGAGCGGGCGGCGGGCGGCAGGCGCCGCGGCCGAGCAGCGGGCGCCGGGCCGCAGCAACAAGGAGCGGCGCCGCCCCGCGATGCGGACTCCGGCGGCGGCGGTGGGCGAGGGCCATGATGGGGACGGGCGTGGGCACTCCCCCACCTGAATCCGCCGCCGGCTACCTTCCCCCGTCCCAATCTACCGGCGGCGGCCCTCCCCCACCCTGATCTACGGGCCGCCGCCCTCCCTCGCCCCGATCTTCCTCTGTCTCCTGAAGCGGTGCCTCCCGCTGGCTTCCGTCGTCAAGCTCGGTGGCGGCCATATCCGACCGCCATGAGCTCGTCGGTAGGCCGATCCAGCTGCCATCAGCAGCACCAGTATACCCTGGGACGATCCGGCCACCATCAACAACACCAACATCATCTTAGCTTTCTTTGATGGATGTGGTAACTTTCTGAACCAAAAACTAACCCAGGACTACCTACCATTATTGATAATCATTCTTTTTGGAGCTTTAGTGATCTTTAAATGAAATAATCCAAATTTAGCCGAACCATAATTTTCTATGCAGGATCTTAGATAGAAAGAATAAAAAAAATATTTGCTTCATTGTCCTACCATGGAAATTAATTTAGATAGAAGGTAACGATTACAATATGCATTTTGTACTAAGCTTAAGAATTGATTTTTCATACAATATTGGTGATTGAATAATTGCTTTTACAAAGAGATGGCATGAGGCATGTCATTTTTTCTTTTGTGGTTACCTAATGTTTTTCTGCATGAACATATACAATTGGTTGAGCATCTTGAAAATATGGATCTCAATCGTATCCTTTTTACTTTTAAAATTTTAAAATCAATTCAGGTGCACCTTGCTAGCAGCTAGCTTCAAATTGGCAAGTTCAACATGTGTTTTTAGTTAGTTTGTTAATGGAGTTTTTGTTATTTTCATATTTAATCCAGTATACCTATACTCATCAAACTAGGATATATATGGTCTTTGTTCCCATTATGCTGCATCCTTTCTCCCATGGATTAATTTGATGGTAACTTAGCTTTACTGCATGGTTTGCTTATGCATTTTCTATTTTGTTTGATAGCTTTTAGAAATAGATATGAACTGATAACTTGACAAGTGATAAATCAAAGCTATTTTGGTCTTTTCTTACTTTATCTAACTTGCACTTCTAGATTCACACCTTTTGGAGTAGTATAGAATTCAACTGAATTTTTGGATGCTATTCATGTACTTGCATATTTTTAGATTTGTTTTGAGTATATCGATGGTTCTCCTACCATGGCAAGCTGCTATATTTGACTTTGGATTCCAGACTTATGGGCCAGGTATTGTTTATTTAGGTTTTGTTATATTCACATTATACTAACAAGCTGTATGTACAGTATTAAGGCACATGTAACTTATTAGCTCTTAGTCTCTTACATGATAATACTTAGGATGTCTCTGGATAAATATTTCTCTACTCACATTTTGTTGTCTTGATGCGTTCATGTTTGTCTGTTATGCTCTTCACGGTGTCTGCAGCAAAGGGATACTCTCTAGATAAACCTTTTTGGCACCACACCAGTTTGGAGGAACGGTTTTGAGTACATCATCAATGTTAGAATAGTTGTTTTGAGTATATTGATAACAATGGGACCAAGTATTGGTAGGCTTCTATATTCGTGGATTACAGCCTTTTAGCGCAGTGCTATTTTTAGTGTTGTTTTTTAAAGGATTTGGTGACATGCATCAGGATGGTTGTTAGCAGTAGTGTTTTTTTAAGGTTTTGGAAGCATCAGGATGGTTGTTAGCCGTATTCAGTCACATATAATTAACTTTCTTAGCTGATAGGTGTTAATGTTTAGATTGTCTTTATAGATATCTTCCTTTTCACACATTTTACTTTCTATGTGCAAACATGTTCTTCCTTATGCAGTTCACTGTATCCGTGGCAAAGTGCGGCCTAGTTATCTATTGTTGACTTGAAAATCAGAACCTAAAAATAAACTATTGTTGACTTGTCATGTCTTATTTTCAAGTGAAAATTATAGAATGTGTCTCTTCTCCCCATCTGCAAATATCACGTGTGGCTGTCTTTCCTATATGTGATAGAAGTAAGCTACTTGTATTACTAGTGTTTGCTGTTGAGATTATAGACATATAATGATTTAATCTATTCCATAAATAAATCATGACATTACAGATGAAAACTAGCATGAATGCATCATTAGATCTACACATGTAAACTACACAGTATAACATGAACAGATCAAATATGCGCAACATATTGAACACGTACCGAGGTGACGGAAAGACCGGCTGCTTGGTCGAAACTTTTCGCAAGTGTCTACGAAGGCACGAAACACGCGAGCGAAGAGGAAGGCGAGCCGTCGCGAACGAACAGGGAGCAGTCGCGCGAAGCGCTTCCCAAAAACCTTATTGCCGCCTTCTCCCGGTGCAGAACGTCGAAGGCAGAGGTTCCGGAGACCTGCTCTCCCGATCGCCGGTGCACGCCGGCGAGCGGGATGGAGTAGTCTACGAGCGACGGCGCAGTACAGAGTAGGAAGCAAACCCTAGATTGATTTTGCGTATGTTGCGTGAAGACGGCAGGTCGGTTTATATAGAGAAGGGTCGCTTGATCAGGGCGCCCGCACGATCTCTACTGCGCGTAACCGAACCGGATAAGTCGCGTGTAACTTATCCGGACTCCACGCCGTTTGCACGCACCGGATCTTTCGGAACGTTTCCAAAACAAAAACGAATCCGAATTTGCAACAAAACAAAACTGCAAAAGGAGGCTGCATCTGCGCAAGGGTGAGGAGCCAATTTTTCGGACCATTCGACGCGTACGTCGTGCACGCGCGCCGCCTGCCCTGCCCGGCCAGGCGAGGCGAGGCGAGCGCGCGCGTGTGTTTCCCCTCTTCTCTCCACCACACATGCTTCAAGCGACTAGGAGGGCATCCTCCCTTTTAAGGAGGTCCCCCTCTCCTAGAATAAGCAAGGTGGTACTAAACTCCACATGCATGCCATCCCATGAGGTGGGCTTTTGTGATTTTCCAAAGAATTAATCTTCGAGTGGGCTAAGGCCCATTCATTAATTCCAACAATCCCCCACCAAATCTCAAAATCCCACTGAGATTTGCCTTTTCCAATGTACTGTTTATATACCAGCGGTTCGATGGAGACCAATTAAGGTTGAACATCCACCTAGAACTCCAAGCTACACTTACTCACAACTTGAACAATGGACTACGCCTTGAATTGCAAGTCTTGTGCAAGCAAGTTTCACTCAAAGTCTTATCTGGTACTAGACCGTCTGTAGACTACCCCTCGGGTGGAGCGTATAAGTCATACTCCTAGGTCTTTAGTAAGCTTCCTAGAAGATTCACCCAAAATCTTCATAGACTGCGACCAACAGTCAAGCTCACAAAGGTGAGTTCTTTCAAGAATGCTCTGCAGGACAACATCTTTGCTAATTAAAGCCAACAGAACTCATTAAGGCATAGCCAACCTGCCTTGCAGCTCACGAGAGTATATGCATCTTCACTTGGAGAGGGTATATATATTGGTACTCTCCTCTAGTTTATTAATGGTTTGTTCTTCCCAGGATCTAATTCACGAGATCTCCGATCACATAGATTGGGTTACCACCATAGTATAACTCACATGGGTCTCAAACCCATCTCCTTCGATGCATTGTCTATCACATTTCGTGATAGTCCCTTCGTGAAGGGATCTGCCAGGTTTCTCGCTGTTTGGATGTAATCCAACGTTATAACTCCGGAGTTTCTTAATTTCCTGACAGACTTCAATCGTCTTTTCACATGTCTAGACGATTTCATATTATCCTTAGAACTATTCACTTTGACAATTACCGTTTGATTGTCACAGTTCATAAGGATAGCCGGCACCGGTTTTTCAACAACAGGCAGATCCATTAATAGATCACGCAGCCATTCTGCCTCAACAGTAGCAGTATCCAGTGCCGTTAGCTCTGCTTCCATGGTTGACCTCGTCAAAATTGTCTGTTTGCAAGACCTCCATGAAACAGCACCACCACCCAGTGTGAAAACATATCCACTAGTGGCTTTGATCTCATCCACATCAGAGATCCAGTTAGAATCACTATAACCCTCCAGTACCGCAGGATACCCAGTATAGTGAAGCCCCAATTCCACAGTACCTTTCAGATAGCGCATTACTCGCTCAAGCGCACGCCAGTGATCATCTCCCGGATTAGAGGTAAATCGGCTCAACTTGCTCACAGCAAAGGAGATATCAGGCCTAGTTGCACTAGCCAGGTACATCAACGAGCCAATGATTTGGGAGTATTCCAGTTGATTCCTAGCAATTCTCTTGTTCTTGCGAAGCAACAAGCTAGGATCATAAGGTGTTGGAGAAGGCTTACTATCAATGTAGCCAAAGCGATTCAAGATCTTCTCCACATAATGGGATTGCAAGAGTGTAATCCCATTCTCACCTCTAATTAGCTTAATGTTTAAGATAACATCAGCTACTCCCAAATCTTTCATATCAAAATTTTGAGACAAGAATGATTTAACCTCATTTATCACCTCAAAGTTTGTCCCAAATATCAGTATGTCGTCAACATACAAGCACAAAATAACTCCCTCACCCCCACCATGGCGATAGTACACACATTTATCTGCCTCATTGACTGCAAAGCCTGCAGATGTCAATGTTTTGTCAAATTTCTCATGCCATTGCTTAGGAGCTTGTTTCAGACCATACAAAGACTTCAACAATTTGCACACTTTGCCTTCTTGACCTTCAACTACAAACCCATCAGGTTGATCCATATAGATCTCCTCATCCAGCTCTCCATTAAGAAAAGCTGTCTTAACGTCCTTTTGATGAACGAGAAGACCATGTGAGGCTGCTAGGGAAAGTAGCACACGAATTGTGGTCAATCTAGCAACAGGTGAGTAAGTGTCAAAGAAATCTTCGCCTTCTTTCTGAGTATAGCCCTTAGCAACAAGCCGAGCCGAGCCTTGTACTTTTCAATAGTACCGTCAGGCCTAAGCTTCTTCTTGAACACCCACTTGCACCCCACAGGTTTACACCCATAGGGTCGCTCTGTCACCTCCCAAGTCCCGTTAGCGATAATGGAATCCATTTCACTACGGACAGCCTCCTTCCAGTAGTCTGCATCAGGAGATGCATATGCTTCTGAAATTGACTTAGGAGTGTCATCCACGAGGTACATAGTGAAATCATCACCAAAAGACTTAGCCGTCCTTTGTCTCTTACTCCTTCGAGGAGCTTCACTGACATCCTCCTCAGAGACAAGTTCATGTGTATGTTCAGTTTGTTCTGGTGGTGTGATTGAACTGGGAATTATTTCAGAGGGTTGGTTCGAACCACTATGTGTATCCTTCATTGGGAAAAAGCTCTCAAAGAAGGTAGCATCACGAGACTCCATAATTGTACCAACATGCATGCCCGGTACCTCGGATTTAACTATTAAAAATCTATAGGCAATGCTATGATGAGCATATCCCAGAAAAACACAGTCCACAGTCTTAGGTCCAAGTTTGCGCTTCTTCGTTATTGGTACATTGACTTTCGCCAAGCACCCCCATGTGCGCAAATAAGAAAGTGATGATTTTCTACCAATCCATATCTCATATGGTGTTTTGTCCTTATTTCTGTTAGGAACTCTGTTTAACACATGATTTGAGGTCAACAATGCCTCCCCCCACCATGCCTTAGGCAGTCCCGCGGTGTCCAACATGGCATTCACCAAGTCAGTCAGTGTGCGGTTCTTCCTTTCAGCAATCCCATTAGACTCGGGAGAATAGGGAGGCGTCCTCTCATGTATGATGCCATGTTCCTCACAGAATAAGTCAAACTCGTTCGAGAAAAACTCTCCACCACGATCAGACCTAAGCCTTTTTATCTTTCTGTCAAGTTGATTTTCAACTTCTGCCTTATAAATTTTAAAATAGTCTAGAGCCTCGTCTTTCGTTTTCAACAAGTACACATAGCAAAATCTAGTAGCATCATCAATCAATGTCATGAAATATCGTTTTCCACCCTTCGTCAACACCCCATTCATTTCACAAAGATCTGAATGTAGGAGTTCTAGTGATGCCAAGTTTCTCTCCTCGGCAGCCTTGTGAGGCTTGCGAGGTTGCTTCGATTGCACACAACTATGGCACTTAGAACCTTTGACAATGGAAAACTTAGGAATTAAACACATGCTGGAAAGCCGAGACATCAAGCCAAAATTAATATGACATAAACGTGAATGCCAAACATTAGCCTCATCATCCACACTGCCACAAATATGGTTCACAGACTTATTGCAGAAATCAGAAAGGGAAAAGCGGAACAGGCCTCCGCACTCATAACCTTTACCAATAAAATATCCATGTTTAGACACGACTACTTTATTAGACTCAAAAACCAACTTAAATCCGTCTCTAGTCAGACGGGAGCCACTAACAAGATTCCTGTCGATAGAAGGGACATGCTGCACGTTCTTCAGCTGCACGATCTTTCCCGAAGTAAACTTCAGATCTACCGTGCCAACACCATGAACAGAAGCATGTGACCCATTCCCCATTAGGACGGTGGAACCCCGTGCGACCTGATAAGAAGAAAACAATGAGATGTCAGCACAAACATGTACATTGGCCCCAGTATCAACCCACCAATTAGTAGATTGATTAACTGAAAAAACAGTAGGTAAATTACCATACCCGCTTCCATCTCCAGTGTTGCCAATGGTCACATTAGCAGACTTAGAAGTCTGCCCTGCAGGTGCCTTCATCCCCTTGCGCTGTGGACACTTCCTAGCCAGATGACCAACTTGGCCACACACAAAGCAAGTCCTCTCATCCTGATTAGGATTGTTCTTGTTCTTCTTCTGCTTCTTAAAGTTGGTGGTCTGCTGAGCTTTGTATTTCCCCTTGCTCTTGTTCTGGGCCTTGTGCACAACATTGGCACTGGACTGCCCACCATCGCCCTTAGACGCGGCATCTTTTTCCCGAGCTTTCTCCTCAACATCAAGAGACGCAATCAACCCCTCAACGGAGTATTCCTGTCTCTTGTGTTTGAGTGCAGTACCGAAACTCCTCCAAGATGGAGGTAGTTTTGCAATAATGCACCCGGCCACAAATTTGTCGGGTAAGACACACTTAAGGAGTTCGAGTTCCTTAGCCATGGTTTGTATCTCATGAGCCTGTTCGACTACAGAACGGTTGTCAGCCATTTTGTAGTCATGAAACTGCTCCATGATATACAGATCATTGCTAGCATCAGTAGCACCGAATTTAGTATTCAGTGCATCCCACAACTCCTTAGCGTCGGTCATATGCATATACACCTCGACCAGACGATCGCCAAGAACGCTAAGAATGCATCCCACAAAGAGAGTAGTGGCTTCCTCGAATTGCTTCTGCTGTTCAGCAGTAAGAACTCCTTCAGGTTTGCCAGTACTCACCCAGAAGCATTTCATAGCTGTCAGCCACAGAGTGACCCTGATCTGCCATCTCTTAAAATGCACACCGGTGAATTTATCCGGCCTCAGTGCATCGGCAAAACCAGCCATAGTAAAATCACAGTGCCTATAATAAGGTTTTTGGATTGTTGAGATTATAGACATATAATGATTTAATCTATTCCATAAATAAATCATGACATTACAGATGAAAACTAGCATGAACGCATCATTAGATCTACACATGTAAACTACACAGTATAACATGAACAGATCAAATATGCGCAACATATTGAACACGTACCGAGGTGACGGAAAGACCGGCTTCTTGGTCGAAACTTTTCGCAAGTGTCTACGAAGGCACGAAACACGCGAGCGAAGAGGAAGGCGAGCCGTCGCGAACGAACAGGGAGCAGTCGCGCGAAGCGCTTCCCAAAAACCTTATTGCCGCCTTCTCCCGGTGCAGAACGTCGAAGGTAGAGGTTCCGGAGACCTGCTCTCCCGATCGCCGGTGCACGCCGGCGAGCGGGATGGAGTAGTCTACGAGCGACGGCGCAGTACAGAGTAGGAAGCAAACCCTAGATTGATTTTGCGTATGTTGCGTGAAGACGGCAGGTCGGTTTATATAGAGAAGGGTCGCTTGATCAGGGCGCCCGCACGATCTCTACTGCGCGTAACCGAACCGGATAAGTCGCGCGTAACTTATCCGGACTCCACGCCGTTTGCACGCACCGGATCTTTCGGAACGCCGTTTGCACGCACCGGATCTTTCGGAACGTTTCCAAAACAAAAATGAATCCGAATTTGCAACAAAACAAAACTGCAAAAGGAGGCTGCATCTGCGCAAGGGTGAGGAGCCAATTTTTCGGACCATTCGACGCGTACGTCGTGCACGCGCGCCGCCTGCCCGGCCCGGCCAGGCGAGCGCGCGCGTGTGTTTCCCCTCTTCTCTCCACCACACATGCTTCAAGCGACTAGGAGGGCATCCTCCCTTTTAAGGAGGTCCCCCTCTCCTAGAATAAGCAAGGTGGTACTAAACTCCACATGCATGCCATCCCATGAGGTGGGCTTTTGTGATTTTCCAAAGAATTAATCTTCGAGTGGGCTAAGGCCCATTCATTAATTCCAACATTTGCTTCCCTATAGGACAAGTGCCTGAAAAACAAACTTAACCGTGATAATGTTTGATACCAGCAAAGGACTTACTCTTGGTGCTACATTCTGCATTCCCAAGTCGTGGTAAGATAGAAAAAATGTGCTAGTTCCTTTATTTACTGTTATTTGATAAATGAGAAAATTGTTATCGATACACTTTGTACATAAGTTTCTTTGATCTGTTTTACTAGTATGAGCTGTACCTAAATGCTATGTTTGGCCACTAAAACTAGACATGCATTTTTGAGGAGTTAGTAAAACTTTTGTTCCATCACCCTCTATTCTTATGTAGCCAAGTGTATTTTAACTACATAATCCCTTGTCGTGGTCCTGACATTATGGGTGTGCACCTAGCAGCCATATGTCATTGACACATTGGATGATATATTGTGGATAGGAGAACTTTACAGCGATGGCATGTTGTATTTAGCACTTGTGCATATGAAAAAACTTTGGGAGACGATGTCATGTTGTATTTACAAACTGTCTGCATGTAATTTCAGAAGCAAATTAAGTATGAAGACGTGCCACCCACTGCAGTTGATCTTTTCAAGGAGTGCCTTTGCTGCAACAAGATCGGTTTTTGTGATGCACCAAACTTGTTTATTTTGCTATTGTCAATGCACTTGTATAAGAACCTGTTTTGATCACTGAGTTTTGGTCAGTGAACCTGCATGTATGTATGTTATTGGGCTTGTGGTATATTGGATGTTAACTGGTCTTGTATAACCTTTGTGATATATGGGCCTACTAGGCCGTTATTTCGTATAATGCTTGGGCCTATATGGGCTTTAGAAATTGGCTTGGCCCACTTATTATTTGATCTTAATGCAAATGGATATAATGCAACTGGGCCGAAAAGTTTTTGCAAAGTGCTACACCTCAAATGGGCCAAGCCTTAATTTAATTCGGCTTGCAATTGGGCTCAGCCCATAAATAGGCTGCTCACTACATGGACCTAGATAGGATACACAATATTTTGTGACGTTCTCAAGCTTAGATAATGGCGAACACGAGCGTCATAGACTATATGACAACGGAAGGATCGTCACTAGATTAATGACGAAAAAATAAGGTTTCGTCATAGAATACCATTAGAGACGCATGATAGGTGACGAATGAATTTTCATCACGCGAGCGTCACAGATTACGAAACGTGACGAAAAATTCAATATTCGTGATGTAAGTGAAGCGTCATCTATCATAAGATCTCTTGTAGTGAATTCATTAAGTCTCATATGAAGCGTAAGCGCCTCACCTCTCTTTGGAGAGTACGAGAGATTTCCGTGGCCTGTAAACATATGGTTTTTCCAGCCGTAACCCTTATCCCTGTATCGTTCTAAATTAGACTATAGGTTGGTTTGATCTCCATATCAGCTTTGCTAGTCAGCTTAATCTTTTCTAAACCGATCTTGATCGAGAGCTTTTCTCGGTTGAGGTGGTTGGCTACTCTGTTAACACCGCAAAATCATTAGGTGAATCTGTGTTGGCCAGAAAAGGTGTTAACAGTTTTTATGTGTGATATATAAATGTTTCAATTGGAATTTAGCATTGTTTCATTGTTTGACAATAATATGATAAGTTGCTATAAAGATTTTAATTGCAATGAATACTATTGAACAATCGGATAAGTAACGTAGGAGAAAAATGGCTTCATGCATGCATGCAAGCAAATGTTGGTGTGTAGAGAGAAAGAGGGATCATGAGTACATACACAGTGTGTAGAGACTGTGAGGGAAAGCATGTGACACATAGAGTATATAAGAGAGTGCATGCATCAAACAACTGAGAAGGAGGGCGAGTGCTTGATTTTTTTTTCCTTTTTTGAGTGTCCAATCCATAGTCTCGTCCTTGATATTAACTCGGTCTTTGATCTTGGTTATAACAATAGATGATCTACAGGCCCACTAATTGTTTTCAATAAACATAGGCTCATGAGTAAAAACATGAAGGTGGAGCCCAACTTCGTAAACAAGCCGAGCAGATTCTCGGGTCACCCCTGAATGCTGGATACACACAGCGGAAAGGCTAGTTCATGAACATGTGCGAACTAGGTATTTCGCGGCCGGGTTTCCAACTGCATAGTGATGAAGGCTAGGGGATAGGGTTAGGGTTTCGGGGGTGGGGGTGTGGGGGGGGGGGGGGAGGGTGGCGCTTGGGAGGGGGAAGTGGTGGATTTGGGCCTAGAATGATGGCCTAGGAGGCGGCCGACATGCAGTGGGTGGCGGACAAGGGTGGACGGTGAGGCCGCGGCGGCGCTGCCGGAGCCGCGGGGTCGGCAGTGGGCGGTGGCCGGTGTTGGTGGCGGGCACAAAGCATGGTGAAGGGGAGGGGGAGGAAGTCAGCCAAGCGGGGCCACGCCAGCACATTGACGCCTATTGGAAGGCGGGGCAACGACATGGTATAGGGGGGTGGCGGTAAAGAAAGAGTTGACCTAGTTGCCCGACGATCTCGTCAAAGGGAGGAGGTGGTGGATGGGGGCACGCCGGAAAAGTTGGTGGAGGAGGGGGCTCGTTGGATGGGATAGGCGGGTGGCTCACCGGTCGTCGTCGCTGTTGTCGCTCAAGTGGAGAGAAGGAAAAGAACGACTGCGAGAGAGGAGAGTAAGACATAAGATAGATGGAAAAGATAAGGTGGAGAGATGTTGGGCTGGGCTGAAAGCGTTCGCGGGCTGCGAACGCCACTAGACCAATCCTAGGAAAAAGTACACCGAAGGTCCCTCAACTTGTCATCGAGTTACAAAATCGTCCCTCAACCGCAAAACCGGATACAACGCATCCCTTAACTTATAAAACCAGTGCAAACTAGGTCCCTCGGCGGTTTTGACTCCAGTTTTGTCCGACGTGGTACCAGACTCAGCGTGGGACCCACGCGGGCCCCACACATCAGGGTGTCCCCGTCAGCACCTACTCACTTTTCCCCTCTTCTCTTCCTCTGTTTCTCTCCTTCCTCTCGCTCTCTGCTCTTGCACAGGGACGGCGCTAGGGCTGCCGCCCACAGTGGCGCGCGCCGCCAGAGGGTGGTGCGGTCGGCGCGAGCTAGCCGGCCTCCCCGCTCCCCTCGTGTGGGCCGCCGGCGGGGCGAGGCAGGAAACGAGCGGCAAGGTGGCATCGCGACGCGGCGGCGATGGGCCAGGTGCAGGCAAGCGCCGCGGCGATGGGCGCGGAGGTGGAAGCAGGCGCGAGCGGCGGCAGGAGGCGGAGTAGTGGGGCATGGGCGGCAGTGGGAGGAGCCGCGTGCGGGCGGGTCAGGAGTGGCGCTGATGACGGCGAGGTAGCTAGCTTTATGCCGTCATTGATCTCATCGATGCGTGGGACACGTTCATGCAACGAGAGACGCATTTTGAGCTAATTGTATTGCAGTTCAAGTATTCAACCATGAAGAATATATGCTCAAATTAGAAGGTATCGCATTTGTTCTTACATGGCTTGGGGATGTGCTCCTCGAGGTCGTCGTGGACGGGGCACTCGACGGTGACTGGCGACTGCAGCGTGACGATGGTCAGGGAGTCCTTGGCCTCCACACCCGACATGCCGCGCATGTCCCGACCTTGCGGGCTGCCACGGTGGCGTCGCCCCTCCAGTCAGTCGCCCTCGTCACGCTGGGGCCTTCCACGCCGGCGCCGGTGCGGAAGCCATTGCGCCCGGCCTTGGTCGTCGTTGTGCCCTGCATCCCTCCGCTCCCGCTTGGCACGGCACAAACGACCCAAACACACTCGATTCCCTGTGAGAGCTCGTGATCTTGAGAGATCATACTGGTCTTGAGCTAGCTGCTCGCCGTCGCCGAGAGCGGCTTCAGGGGAAACCCACCGGAACGAACCACCCTCCTCTTCGCACGCCATCTTCCCGCCCCGCGTCAGCCATGGCGCCGCCGCCGCCTCTCCTTGCTGCCCTATCTCTCTCCCTATCTCCGTTTGCTTCCCCTTCTCCTGTTGTTGAGGTCATGTGCGTTCTGTGCCGGCAGGGTGCCCGTGGCGGCGACAATGGCGGTGGAGGGAGGAAGCGGAAGGGCGTGGTGGCCGGACCGCGACCTCTGCGCCAGGGCAGCGCTGTGCGCGAGCGGCGTCGCTGGGACACGTGGACGCGCTCCGGGAGCTCGGGCACTGCCTGCAAGAGGGCTACAGCGTGCGCTGCTTCGTGCTCGACGGTCAGTCGCCGCCTCCTCATCCAGGCCAACGCCCGTGAGCTCGCCGCCACGGTCATCGCGTCGGCCTCGCTCCTCCACGCCACCGACAAGCTGGCTGCCTCCCGCGTGGCACTCGTGCCTCCTCTGCGACTTCGGCTGCCACGCCGCGGCGAACGCACCCAGCTGCTCCCCTGTCGCCAGGTGGAGAGGATCAGAGGAGAGGAGAGAGGTGGAGGGGGGAGGAATAAGAGGCTAACGTGTGGGACCCACACTGAGTCAGCTGCCACGTCGGATAAAACCGGAGTCAAAACCGCCAAGAGACCTAGTTTGCACTGATTTTGTAACTTAAGGGATACGTCGTATCCGGTTTTACGGTTGAGGGATGATTTTGTAACTCGATGACAAGTTGAGGGACCTTCGGTGTACTTTTTCCCCGATCCTACACATAGTCGACAGAACCAATTCCAAAGCATCCATCCAACCATCCACGTGTCCGTCACAGCATCTGAGCCATCTGAACACTTGGACCATAGGCCACCCCTATCCGGCCACAAATTTTGACAATTTAACCCTTTGTAAAGACTATTTTTACAAATGAACTGCCGCCAAAACTTATTTAAAAAATGACTATTTTGTTCAGCGCCAAATCGTGTGGAGCTGAACTTAGACACCTCGGCGCCATATAGCGTGGCGCGGAATGTGTGTTGGCATGCTGACTTAGCCTCCCATCCGCGGTGGCACGGCATTCAGTGCCAGTTGACATAGCGCTGAGGTGTCTAAGTTCAGCACCAGATGATTTGGCGCTGAACAAAATGGTTATTTTTAATATAAGTTTTAGCGGCGGTTCATTTGTAAAATTTGTTTTTTTAAAGGGTCAAATTGTCAAAATTTGTGCTTGTCCGGCTGTCCTGACCATCCGTTTCGTCCTCCTTTCCTGTGCTTTTTCCTCCTCCGACCATCGTCTTCCCCCGCTTTCTCTGCCCTCCTATTTCTCCTCTCCGTCCACTACCTCCGCCCTCCTCCACCACCCCCATGCCTGCGGCGACCACCACCGTTCCTCTACGAGACTGATCCCGTCGTCGCCATGGCCTCTGTGGCGGCGCAGCTGGTCGGCGCGGCCCTCACGCTGCTGCTCCTCTCCGTCGCCGCAGCACCCGCGCGGGCCAACGAAGTGCCACGCCTCTTCCTCCAGGAGATCGCCAGCGACTACGACGATGGGATCGGAGGCACGGCGGGGGATAAAGGGGCGAAGACCATCGCCGGGAGTCCCATCGTAGCCGGGGTCATGAACGACCGTCTCAAGGCGCTTACCTCCTCCTTTGCCAAGGCTATTGGCGACAAGCTCGACTACTGCATCAAGGACACGTCAGTCACCCCCACCCCGTCAATCATCCCTCCGTCCCTCCCACCGCAGCGCTTTTCGATTCTCAATTTCCGATCTCTAGCTCTGTTTGCGTTTACAGCGACAAGGAGTGGAATGCTGCGTTCAATTTCTCCAAGGACACCACCTTCCTCACCAATTGCATGAAGCAGACCAACGGTATGCATGCTTGCTTAAGCAAAACGCAGCTTCAAATTATCATCTGTTTGAGGAGCATTTGATAACCACATACTACATCGCCTTGGCCTCGATCGTGAGATGATGCATGACGCATCACGCTGACCAAAATGAGCAGGAGACCTGCAGCAGCGTGTCTGCACAGCCGCAGAGATGAAGTTCTACTTCAACAGTTTGATCGACGCCGGGGAGAAGAGCGGGGAGATTAATTATGTCAGGCCCAACAAAAACTGCAATCTGTCATCCTGGATGGACGGCTGCGAGCCGGGCTGGGCATGCACTGTTGGAAAAGAGCAGAAAATCAATCTGCAGGATGCTAAGGATATCCCTTACAGAGCTCTTGACTGCCAAGCTTGTTGCCCTGGCTTCTTCTGCCCCCATGGTCTCACTTGCATGATACGTGAGTTCCCACGCCTAGCTCTAGCTACTCCCTCCGATCCCAAATATAACCATTTCTGGAATTCAAATTTTTGTACATATTTTATTCCAATAATGGGAATCCAAGCAATTCAAAATCCGAAATTTGACCCTTCATCTTAAAATCTTTCTTAAACAACCGAGAAATACTTGTATTTAGAATAGAGGAAGTAAATGTACATTTCTCACAAATATTTGATTATTCAGAAATCAGAATATTTCCTTGGATGTTTCGATTTGTATTTCCACATTTCAGTCTATCGAATTGTTTTCCTACAATATCTTATCATGCTACTGAATGTCAACAATGGGCCTGTGATGATTCTATTTGTTGCTGTTACCTGCAGCTTGCCCTCTGGGTGCATACTGCCCGCTGTCCAGCTTGAACAAAACTACAGGCATCTGTGACCCGTATGTTGGACGTCGTTAATACTCTTGCATATATCCAGATGATTAAATTGAAGGCTATTTGCTAGTAACAATGAAGATGAATTTCAGATACAACTATCAACCACCCGCTGGAAATCCGAATCATTCTTGCGGTGGTGCTGACAATTGGGCAGACGTGGTTAGCACTGACGATATTTTCTGCCCACCTGGATTCTACTGCCCGAGCACGACACAGAAACTCCCTTGTAGTAGTGGGTAATCCTATCTATCTAGTTTTTTGTTTTATTTTGATAAATTATTCAAGTAATACCTCGAAACAAATTAATCTTTTCGTGTGAAAAGGCTTCAGTATTGCTTTTATCCAAATTCTAAGAGGTTAGGAATCGTGTTGCAGGTTTTACTGCAGGAAGGGATCAACCTCACAAACTAGTAAGTCCACTTCACCTTAGATTGTTGGAATCCTGAGCGTCAGTTCTTCTTTTTCTTTTTCTTGTTTTTGTGTATGACAATTCATCAATTCAATCATCAAATAATGCGGTTGCTTATTGATTCAGGATGCTACAAGAAGAGCTCTTGTCCACCAAACTCTGCTACACAGGACATTACAATATTTGGTGCATTGTTAGTGGTAATTAATTTACGGCTGACCTGTAGCATGCAATATATAGGTTGAAGAAGTAATTATGAATTTCTGTTTCCTCGTACTGTTGTGTAGGTTGCCTCCTGTTTAGTGCTCCTGATCATCTACAACTTCTCCGGCCAAATTTTGACGAACCGCGAGAAGAAGCAAGCAAAATCCCGAGAGGCTGCTGCAAGGTATGCGAGAGAGACTGCGCAAGCTCGAGAGAGGTGGAAATCAGCAAAGGATGTCGCCAAGAAAGCCGGAACGGGTCTTCAGTCACAATTGTCTCGCACCTTCTCACGGAAGAAGGCTGCCCAGACACCGAAAGGTGGTGGCGGCGGCGGCAGCAGCCTGCCTCCAAGCGGAGAAGATGGGGGCGGGAGGAAGAAGAACCTGACCGACATGATGCAGTCGCTCGAGGACAACCCGGATAACGATGAAGGATTTAACCTGGAGATAGGAGACAAGGGCCTGAGGAAGAACATGCCGAAAGGGAAGCAGATGCACAGCCGGAGCCAGATCTTCAAGTATGCGTATGGCCAGATCGAGAAGGAGAAGGCGATGCAGCAGGAGAACCACAACCTGACCTTCTCAGGCGTGATCAGCATGGCCAAGGAGCACGACGTCAGCACGAGGCCCGTCATCGAGATCGCCTTCAAGGACCTTACGCTGACGCTGAAGGGGAGCAAGAAGAAGCTCTTGAGGTCCGTGACAGGGAAGCTCAGGCCTGGCCGTGTGGCCGCCGTGATGGGCCCATCTGGCGCGGGGAAGACCACGTTTCTCAGCGCCATTGCCGGGAAGGCGACTGGCTGCGAGACGTCAGGCATGGTGCTCATCAATGGGAAGGTAGAACCCATCCGCGCGTATAAGAGGATCATTGGCTTTGTCCCCCAGGATGATATCGTTCATGGAAACCTCACCGTCCAAGAAAATCTCTGGTTCAATGCAAGATGCAGGTACTTGTTGTTTGATGACTCATTTTGCCAAACAAAAATGTTGAGCCTTTTAACCTTGCTAGTATCCATCAATTCCTTTGATAAATATAAGATGTCGTATTAGTTTTTGATAGTCTTTAATGTAAACCTTTTCAATTGCTAGTTTCTTTCATATAATATTATTATTGATGACTACTGAATTAAATTCATATAAAATTGCTTTCACATTTAAACTTATCTGTACCTACTACTAGTATGGCACTGAAAACTTACATGTTAGCTTAACTGCTACTACGCTCCTGGTCTAAACTCCAACAAGCATATTTTTCCTCGATTTTCATTAACACGTTTTTCAAATTGTTAAATGGTTTGTTTTGTGCGAAAACTTTCTACATAGAAGCCGCTATAAAAAATCGAATAAAATATTTTTTCAAATTTTCAATAATTAGAACTCAATTAAACATATGCATATAACTTGCCTCGTTTTGCGTGTGCACTTAATTTTCATCCCTCCATCAGTTGTAATACTACTTGAGTATTACAAATGTTGAGTTTTGCAAATATATGTGTTTCTTATATTTTTCAACGGAGGAGCGATTGGAAGCATTGACCTGCAGTTCCACAATTCCAGGCTTTCAGCAGACATGTCGAAAGCTGACAAGGTGCTGGTCGTGGAGAGGGTGATTGAGTCACTGGGACTGCAGGCTGTTCGAGATTCTCTGGTCGGGACAGTGGAACAGCGCGGCATCTCCGGTGGGCAGCGCAAGCGAGTCAATGTTGGCCTGGAAATGGTGATGGAGCCATCGGTGCTGATTCTGGATGAGCCAACGTCCGGTCTGGACAGCGCCTCCTCCCTCCTCCTGCTCCGCGCCCTTCGCCGTGAAGCTCTCGAGGGCGTCAACATCTCCATGGTTGTTCATCAACCCAGGTTGGTGTTGAGATCGACTCTCAACCAAGAAATCATGGCCTCGAGCTAAACAATTTATTAATGGTGGCTTTTGGTGCAATTCAGCTACACTCTGTACAGGATGTTCGACGACCTGATACTTCTAGCCAAGGGAGGGATGACGGTGTACCATGGGCCTGTGAAGAAGGTGGAGGAGTACTTCACGGGGCTGGGCATCACCGTGCCGGAGCGAGTGAATCCGCCGGACTACTACATCGACATCCTGGAGGGCATCGTCAAGCCCACCATGAGCGCCGGCGTCAGCGTCAAGGACCTGCCGCTCAGGTGGATGCTGCACAATGGCTACGACGTCCCCCGGGACATGCTGCAGAGCTCCTCCGACTCTGAGTCCTCCTTCCGAGGGAGCACGAGCCCGGCCTCCGGCGATGCCTCCGTCGCGGCCGAGGTATGGGGCAACGTCAAGGACATCGTCGGCCAGAAGAAGGACGAGTATGACTACAACAAGAGCACTGAAGATTTGTCGAACCGCTGCACTCCTGGCATTCTTAGGCAGTACAGGTACTTCCTCGGAAGGTAATCTCTTCTCTGTCTCTATATGCTTAGAGTTTCCTTTATCTGAATTTTTTCTTTAGCTCTAATAGATGCCAGTGCCTATCTCTAATGCCTATTGCATCTCTCTTCGTCGTCTCCTTTAGGTGTGGCAAGCAAAGGCTCCGTGAAGCGAGAATACAAGGGGTTGATTACCTCATACTCTGCCTTGCCGGGATATGCCTGGGGACACTGGCCAAAGTCAGTGACGAGACGTTTGGAGCGCTTGGATACACATACACAGTCATTGCTGTTTGTAAGTATTAGTCCTCTCTGGTTCTCTTTTAATTGATATTATTTTTGCTATACGTACAAAACTAAGCAATAACTATATTATCCATATACAACTATTTTACCCTTAATAATTTTATTTAGTACTGTGGGTAACAAATAAATGGCACATTACAAAATAATCAATACGCTTCATATTGTGAGATGTTTTGACTTCTTTAAGTTAAAGTTTTGAAAGTTTGACTAAGTTTATAAGAAAAAGACAGCAACATATAAAACACAAAACAAAAATTGTACTATGAAAATATATCCTATGATATATTTAATGAAACTAATTTAGTGTTATAAATGTTGCTAAATTTTTTCTATAAACTAAGTCAAACATAAAAAATATTGACTAAAAAACTGTTTATTGTAGGCATAAATTGGGAAAGGCAGATATTTGAATTTCATGCGATAATTAGTGTTTATAAATAACTTAATTTTTGTTCAAAATTTTCAATCCACGAATGGTGGTACGGCTTATCTTCTCTTTGGAGTTTGGAGCTTGGCAAAGCTTGTATTTTCTTTGAAGCTAAAGTTGAGTCTAATATGGTGCAGCTCTGCTGTGCAAAATTGGAGCCTTGAGATCATTCGCGCTTGACAAGATATACTATTGGAGGGAGAGGGCCTCCGGGATGAGCTCTCTCGCCTACTTCATGTCCAAGGACACCATAGACCACCTCAACACCATCGTCAAGCCCATAGTCTACCTCTCTATGTTCTACTTCTTCAACAACCCCAGGTCATCCATCTGGGAGAACTACGTCATTCTTGTTGCCCTCGTCTACTGCGTCACTGGCATCGGCTACACTTTCGCCATCTTCTTTCAGCCAGGCTCTGCACAGTTGGTGAGTGTTGTAGATGTACTTGTATGCAGGCTGGATTAATTTCCAGTAGAACAAAGATAGAATTCACGATGCACATTTTTGTGGTAAGCTATACATCCTCATGCTTAATTTCTGTGCAGTGGTCTGCGCTGCTTCCGGTCGTTTTGACTCTGATAGCAACTCAGCGGAAGAACACTTTCTTTGCTGACCTGTGCTACACAAAGTGGGCTCTAGAAGGGTTTGTGATGGCAAATGCTCAAAAGTACGTCTTATCCCTTTGCTCAAAATCTGAAGTCAATAGACACTGCAATTAATCCTTTTGGTTTTGAAAGTCTAACCTACTCAAACTGTTTCTGTCTCTTGTCGCAGCTACTCCGGGGTGTGGCTGATTACACGGTGCGGTTCGCTGGTCAAGAGCGGCTATGACATCAACGACAAGGCTCTTTGCATAGTGGTTCTTATTGCCAATGGTATAGTTTTCCGCTGCGTGGCATTCTTCTGCATGGTGACCTTCCAGAAGCACTAGAATCGTCCATGACAAGAGAAAAACAACCCCATAATTCTCCTTCTTTGTCTATCCATGTAGCTGATACGTTCATTCATTGATTTATGTGCAATAGAAATGTACATTATAACCTCTTCTGTCGGGCGCCAGGTGTAGATGAGAGCAGACTCTTCAATAGTAGTAAAAAACTGATCAGGATTCATGAATACCCTAAATCTCTATCTATTATAAAAATTGAAAATGTTTTTGCTGTATAAATTTCGTACGTCGTCTTTGTCCAAGCCAGATTACTGTCCGCGCTCGATTTCGATTTTTCGTAAGTCATACATCATCCACATCATGTGCGATTCTGATCGTTCTCCGTGGATGGAAAATGCACGGTATGAGTACTAGGCCTCTTCTCCCTGCGGTGCACTCGAGACGACTGGTCCCTATTACCATCTCTCTCGATGGCAGAGCGGCCGGCGATTCTCCGGGCGGACATGCTTCTGGCCATCCCTTGCACCGACATGAGCTTCTCGCTGCTAGGTTTCCTTCCGAATCTAGAGATGGCCGGAGCAGTTGGAGCTCGTAGACTGCCGCTACCAGAATCCAACATCGCCGCCGCCGCTTCATCGTCTCATCGATCGTCGTCTCCCATGCCCCTACTCCCGAACAGGTTGATGAGAAGCCGAACGTTGGAGGTGCATGGGATCAGGAGCTAGTGGACGAGGTTCTCTGGGGACGGGGCCAAAGACCGAGGGCATGGGGTAGATGGGTTAGCACAACGGCGGCGCGGGTGCCAAGCGTGGATGTCCTCGACTATTGGTATTTCTTAATGATATTACTAGAAATAGTCATTCTAGCAATGGCGCCAGAAATAGTCCTGGTATATTTATGGTTACAGAATTAATCCGCAAGTGCACAGATATATCATTGTAGTATTTCACCTGGAAGTATTCCAATGTATCTTATTTTTAATCTTAAGGGAAGATAATAAGAGTGAACTTTACTAATGCACTTTATACATATATTACTTATAATTGTCAGAGCCTAAACAAGGGTTAAGTATAATATAAGGGTAGAGTGACATGAAGCAAAGCTATCCAATCCTCATAACGAATAATTCTACTAAGTGGAAGAAGAAATAGAAAGCACTCAATTCTATACTTCTAGCATACACTCAAATCCTAACTTACATCTACTAATGTACAATTATGTGGCAATTACCCCAAACAGTATCCTCTTGGTACTTCGAGAGACCATTCCGGGTTGCCGAGTTTCTTACGACAATCTGTCATGGCCGTCCAATCGGGGCTAAATACGGAGGAGTACCCTCCCTAGGAAATTGTATTAGGAATATATACTAACGTGGAGGAATACCTGTACTGAGCTGTCACCATCGGCGGCCCACCTCTACTGTCCCGCAGCATATATTCCCAATTAATGATACTTAATAATCTAAGCATCATGCTTACATTATTAAATACTACTCTATACCTGTTAACAACCAACTTTGGTAACATCTGTGTCAGGAAAGAGGATTGGATCAAAGCGAAGTCGGAGGCGGAGATCGAGTTCGGAAACAGAGCAGGAATCGGCCGGAGTCCAGATCGGCTATGGTTAGGATCGTTTGGGTCTGAGTCGGGCTAAATAAGTCGATACAGCCGATTCCGACAATACGACTTGTACGCGACATCGGGTTCAAGTTAATGTACTTCAAGATGATTGCCACACGCAGATAGAGTCCTGGGAAGGCAATTGTATCTGTTAATTAGGATATCTTATGTAAATTCCTTATAGATAAATGTGGGCAAAAGTCTGTCGCAAAGACTTATGGTATCTTAGAGTTTGTTAGAGATAATAGTCGTGTCCGGTATGGGTATATCTTGTAATTCTCGGGTATAAATAGACCCCGAGCCCTATATAATTTTTAACACACACGTTCAATACAATTTCGGCGCATCGCCACCCTTTTTTGCTTTAGTTTTGTTTCGACGAGTTCTTGCTTTTGGGTTGAGCTGCATCGGTTTCGATCTTCAACAAGAGGTAAAATTCGTTATGACGGATTGTGTTCTTAGGATTAGTGCTTCCATCTTCATGATACTCTAATCTTGTTTATGTAATTCGTTGAGTTATCATATATCTTGTATAATCTCTAGCGATATCGCTATCTAACCTACTATCGGCTAACATTTGTATGCAAAAGGCAGCCGATTAGGTTAGATCTTGACGTTGATCTAGATTATATGAGATATCTACCATTCTATGAAACTTCTAGTGGCTTGATTGTCTAGATATCGTTCTTCTTTTCATACTTAATGCTGTATCAGTTGAGTTTGATCTATTAAGTCGTGCTTAGAATATCGATCTCTAGCCTGCCCTCTAGTTGCCTATTAGAATAGCATCGGAGTTTCAGCCGATCTTATCTGATTTAACTATATTTGTTTTATATGCCTCATTGACATGTTAAATCTGCCCTTTATATCAAGATATTGCTGTATCTAAATATGTTAGGCCTTTGTTTGATATTTTATACCTGCTTTAACATCCTGATATAGAGTAGTATTGGAGTATTAGGCGATACACGCTAGATCTATCTGATCGGCTACGCTATAAACATATATAGTCTTGTTATTGATATATATTTTGATCTAAGTGATTTATACTATCTCGGCATGTTGACCGATCTATCCCAATCACTTGGTTTAAGTATATATCGATATAAGGAATATATATCGTTAATATCTATAGCCAATCGAGTAGATTTAGTTCTTCTTTACTTATTCATGACTGTCGATCGATACACAGATGACATCGGCTCAAAGATAAATGGTATGTCATCGGCATCTAGCCGATCGGCTATCATTTATAGATTTAACCACGGTTTCTTTGCTTCAATTTCTTGTTGATTATAGGATCAAATCAGCTGGCACGCTAACACATCCGAAGGCGAGCTTTGGACCTGCACTGGAGTTAAGCAGATCTCCCAGGCCACGTGTTTTCTATTAACACGCTTTTGGCACGCCCAGTGGGACCTGTAAGAAATCAGACGTCAGTTCTTCCTCATGGCCGAGAAACAGCCACCACCATCTAGCCCAGGTTCCGTTAAAGACAAGGCATTGAAGCTGGGATTGACTGACATCATAGATGACAACGTCATGCCGATCGATCTAGAGAAATTCACGCCTGAGCAGAAGGAGGAGTTTGAAGCAACGCTGCAGCAAGCACAGGATCAGTTCCTGAACTCATTCATGCAGACCCGCAAGGGGACACTAGTTCAGAAGTATAAAATAAAAGTGGTTGCTGATAGTCCTGGGACCGGTTCTTCTAAAGATGGAGAAGTGAAACAAGCTCCAGGCGGCTCGGCTCAGCCGAGTACTAAAATTGCTACCGACGGCTCCCCAAGCGATTAAGGCGACAATTCTCAAGGAGTTCATGGCTTTCAAGGTAATGGTGCTCAGGAGCCACAAGGAGGAAATCTTAATCAGAATAGTGAACTAGCACAAGATTTTTTCAACAACTTCCAAGATCGGGTCGATTACGCTGTGCATCATGCTTTGATCAATCAGTCCGGGGTATTAGTCAATACATTATCAAACATGATGAAGACAATAGCCGATGGTTCGATAGCTGAGCATCAGGCTACAGGCCCAGTTTACTTGCAAGGAGGTGTTTCCCAAATTATCGATCTTTGATCACCGATGTTTAGCCATCTGTTCAAGCAGTTCCATCTGTTGCACCCACAACTCAGCCGATGGCGCCAGCATCAACTCCCTAGCCTGCTATGTCAGCTATGGCGCCAAGCCAGACGATGAACCCTCGGTTGTTAATGAGGGAGCATCCACAGCCTACTGGGCAGATTGCGAATTGGACGACTCAAGATCAAGTTGTTGCCATGTTTCTGCCACCTCCACCTATTATTGATCCAGTGCAGCAGCAGCCGATTCAGCAGACACCAACAATCCAACCAGTTGTACAACCAATCCAACAACAGGTCGTACAACCAGCTCAGCAAACAGCACCAAGGCAGCAGCCTCTGCAACCGATTCAGCAGACACCACCAAGGCAGCAGCCTCAGCAGCCAATCCAACAGACTCCGTTGAGACAGCAGATCGTTCAGCCGGTTCAGCACCCGGGGTCAGTAAATGCATCGGCCGGGTTCGCAGTACCTGGTGGTCAGCCTGTACAACAGTTTGTAAATCAGGTCATCCCAGAGCATTTGGTTCACCATGCACAGCCGGACAGCACAGTAATGCCTCAGATGGTTCCTGAGCACTTGGTGCGCAACATCCAGCCGAATCTCCATAATTACCAAGGGGGTAACTTGAGCTATCAATATCAGCCTCCTTCCCCGCAAGCCTAATATCAGCCAGGGGGATTGGCTCAGCCCCAGTTCGCATCTCAGTATGGTCAGTTCGAGCCCATGCAACAACAGCCACAAGGAGCAGCTCAGCAACGACCATGGGCTCATGTGATTGCTGATGTGATGAGGGAACAATTCGGGCTTAAACCAAAAGAGACTGGAAGCTTGTATCGGCAGCCTTATCCTGAGTGGTTTGAAAGAGTCCCTCTCCCCAATCGGTTTAAAGTTCCATATTTCCCCAAATTTTTGGGACAAGAGGGCGTGTCAACTTATGAGCACATCATCCGATTCCTTGCTTAGTGTGGTGAAGCATCGGTTGTAGACGTTCTGAGAGTTAGGTTATTCCGGTTACCTCTGTCTGGATCAGCTTTTACTTGGTTTTCTTCTTTGCCATATGGATCGATCAATAGTTGGGCCGATTTGGAGCAGCAGTTCCACAGCTATTTCTATAGTGGGGTTCATGAGATGAAGTTGTCCGACTTGACAGCGATTAAGCAGCGACATGATGAACCCATGCACGAGTATATTCAGAGGTTCAGGGAGATGAGGAACAAATGCTTTAGCTTGAGTTTGACTGATGCTCAGTTAGCCGATTTGGCCTTCCAGGGTATGATTCCTCCAATCAGGGAGAAATTCTCGTCCGAAGAATTTGATAGCTTATCGCATCTGATACAGAAGGTAACCTTGCATGAGCATAGGTTAGCAGAAGTCAGGAAAAGCTCTAAGAAAGTTAATCATGTTTGTCCATACATGTATGGGTCGGATGATGAAGAAGATGATTCTGAGATAGCTGCAGCCGAGTGGGTGAGGAGCAAAAAGGTCATACCATGCCAATGGGTAAAAAGTCCTGGAAAAGAGGAAAAGTATGACTTTGATATTACCAAAGCTGACAAGATCTTTGATTTACTA